CCCTGGCCTCCTCCTCTACCTTGCGGCCTCCCTCCGGCCGCGACAACAGCGTAAGACCTCCCCTGCCCTACACTACTGTACTCCTCCCCTAGGCCTCACTCAATCTGATCATATGGGACCTCTTCTGTACCACCCTCCTCTAATGTCAGGATCAAGTGATCCTTGGCCTTGASTTSGCCHGAGATGGTACGATCTTTCCACTTCTTCCCCTTCTCCAGGTCCTTATGCCAGAAAGTGGTAACTGGCATAGACTTCGACTCATACAGGACGACTTCTCTACTCAATGCATCGTAAGTCATGCCGGCCTGCTGAGATTTGTCAAAGAAATGCCGGTGTAGGGCCTTTGGAATGGCACGATAAAACAACTGGACCAGCTGGGCCTCAGTGACCCTGTGGTCCGGGACGGCTACCAAGTCATCCATAGTACCCTTGAGTGCCTTGGCACTCCTCAGTGGATCGTTTGGAGCTTATCAGAGGCTCTAATGCCTCGCGTTGGGTCAGCGAACCGCTCCTTGAGGAGCTTGAGGAATTGGGAAAGAGGAATGACTTTTGAATATGCAACCAGGTTGTTTTCACAACCGGCTGTACGCGCAAGAGACCTGGCGAAGCTAGCCGCTTCATTTTTGAGGGCCTGGAAGGCCACAAGGACTTGTTCCTCGGCCAGGATATGCTGCAAGTAAATATAACTATTGACACTGGCTTCCCAGTTGTCAAAATTTTCTTCCTTCTTTCCCCCGTGCGCATTCGGAAACTTAAGCTTCACTGGGTCCTTATGGGGCCTGGCCTCTCCCTCTGCGGCACCCTGAATGACGCCCTCACAAAACTTCCCTACATTGTCTCTCAACTGTTTGACTTCGCCCCCAATATGGGTGACGATCTCGCGCGCAAAGTCTCTAAACCCTGACCGCATGGCACTCAAGGCTACATCTTGGCTCCAACTTGCCTGGCGCTCTTCCATCCAGGCCTTGCTCAACACCTYTAGATAGCCCAATACCTTGTCCCACTTGGCCTTATCATCTGGCTGGGCTATCACCTCCGCTCTACACTCCTGCACCTTTGCCACTGTTGCGGTGATCTTATTCACTTCCTCTCTCCTCCCCTTCTTCTCCCTCTTCATTCTCAACTTCCATGCTAACTTTTGCTCGTCTTCCCTCTCTCTTCGTTCCATTGGGCCTGTCATGGCTGCTAGCTCAGCGGCCAGCGCAACCTTCTCATCCTTAGTCACATAGGACTCCGCCTCCTCGTCTTCCCCCAACGATAAATTAGCGACCCACTCGCTGATCTTCTTCTCCAGCTCAGTATCTGTCTCCCACTTCATCGTGCCACCACTGCTCCCTTCTCCACTCTCAATTTTCATTCTCTCTCTCTTCTTTTGCTGCCGCTTCTGCTTCAGCAGCCTGCCTTCTTTCTTCCTCCTCCTGTTGTACCCTCT